TAGAAAAACTAATTTCAAGTTTTCTCCGAATAATAGTACCTTACACTTATATAGGGCATTGCTGTTTAAAAAGCCCTTTTACATGGACTTCAACAATGCTGTTTATAAGAGAGGAGTTTGAGGCTAAGTAACAGTGCCATTGACTCCTCAAGTTGCTTTTGTTTGTTTGCTTGGTTGTTTATTTTTTTAAAGATTTTATTTATTTGACAGAGAGACACAGTGAGAGAGGGAACACAAGCAGGAGGAGTGGCAGAGGGAGAAGCAGGCTTCCCGCCGAGTGGGGAGCCTGACATGGGGCTTGATCCCAGGACCCTGGGATCATGACCTGAGCCGAAGGCAGACCCTTAACCAACTGAGCCACCAAGGCATCCCTACTCCTCAAGTTTTCAATTAAGAAGTAAATGGAAAACAAAATTTCCAAAATGACATAGCTTTCTTCAACATGTTAATTTTGATGATCGCTAAAGCTCACTGATTCTCTTCCAACACTTATTAAACACCTACTATGTGACAGGCTCCTTCCTGGATACTATGGATACAAAGCTAAAGACTGGTCCCCATGCTTACAGGAACTTAGAGTCTAGTGGGAAGAGAATAAGCAGACAGTTAGAATCCAGTGCGTTGAAACTCTGGGCACACATGGGAGGGGGCTCCTAACCTGGATGGGTTGTGCCCAAGGTCTTCCCAGAGAAACCCTTACTGAGTCCTGAAAGACATGGAAGAGTTAGCTGGGAAAAGGATAGGAAGTCAGTAAAAGGTGCAGCATAAGTGAAGGAATGAGAAAGCATGGTGGTGTGTTCAGGAAACTGCAGTTACTGGTGATGTTCAAAATGGGTATGAGTTAGGGTATGACAAGATCCCAGGCCAGAGAGAAAAGAAGTGGGGGTGCTAAAGCTCTTTGTTTGCCAGGCTAAAGAGTTTAGCTTCTACCCCAAGGTTGTGAGGTACCACTGAAGGATTAAATTTGGCAGTGACAGAAGATTCCTGTTGGTGCTGTGAAAACTGGCTTGGAGGAAACTAAGAGTAGAGACTGGGCAACTGGTTAGGAGAGGTTGCAGAGATCTAGGCAAAAGATGGGGAGGCCTGAACACAGACAGGGGCAGAAACAATGGACAAGTGGATGGATGAGGAAGAGATAAAGGTGTTTGATCTATAAGACTTGGAGGCTACTTGTGGACCTAAGTAGATGATTGTGCTAACATCTACCATGAGGGAGAAAAGAGGAAAGAGAACAGCTTTCTCCTCCTGGGTTTAAGGATTGTTGGTGGGAACTGCTGGGGAGCAGGAAAGATGGAGAGCAGAGTTAAGACTCAGACATGTTGTTTGATGCACCTGTAGCAGATCCCAGGGGAGATGGCCAATAGGCAGATCAATTTGGAAATCTTCCTGTCTGCAAAGAGGGCGAGGCTAGAGATATAAACTTGAAAGCCATATTAGTTTCCTATTGTTGCTATAACAAATAATCACAAATGTAGCAGCTTAAAAAATACACAAAGTGATTCTCTTAGAGTTCTGGAGGCCAGAATTATGAAATGACTTTTCCAGTCTAAAGCCAGTGTCAGGGCCAGGCTGGTTCCTTCTGGAGGCTTTAGGAGAGAATCTCTTCCCCTTCCCTTTTCCAGATCCCAGAGGCTGCTTACCTCCTTTGGCTCACAGGCCTGCATGCTCACACCTTCACTCCCTTTCTGTCATCTCATAGTTTCCTTCTGATTCCAACTCCTCCTGTGTCCCTCCCATAAAGACCCTTGGGATTACATATACTCCACCCCAATAATCCAGGACAATCCCCCCCTTTCAAAAGCCTTACCTTGACCACATCTGTGAAGTCCTTTTTGCTATGTAGAGTGACATTCACAGGTTCCAGGGATCAGGGCATGAACATCCTTGGGGGCCATTATTCCCCCGATCACAGAAGTTATGAGCATTTCAAGAGCCATGAAAAAGGATGAAATTATTTTTGGAAAAGTGGAGAATCAGGAGAATACTGTCACAGAAGCTATGAGAACATTTCTGGGAGGAAGAGATATACTGGTCAAATGCCGCTAAGAGGTTAACCAAAATAAGGACGAAATATTGTCTGCGACTTCAGCAACTAGGCCACTGTAAGACCAATGTCAGTGAAGTGACTGGCGAGGAAGCCAGACTGGAGTAGGCTGAGGAATAAAGGAAATATGAAAAAGTGAAGATGGTAACTGTAGGCAACTCTTTGAAGAAGCTTAGCTACAACAGGAAGAAGAGAAAAAAGGGCAATAGGGGAGAGAGACACGAGGCCAACATCTGTGGCGTTAGGGTGCTTAGATGATGAGGGGCCAGGTGTAACATGGGATAAGAGTGTGAAGGTGGAAGAGAAAGAGCTTCAAGTTCTCTGAAGGGCAGAGGTGGGAGGATGAGTGCAGAAAAGAGGCAGTGGTGAGAAAGGCACAGAAGAGAAGGGATGCTTCTACTCCAAGAGGAAGGAGTGAGGATGAGGGTGGCGTTGGGCGCTGGACCCTGGTAGGCCATAGGATAGAGAGGGAGAGATGGCTAACTGATGCTTTTCTCTGGGAAGCAAGAACTGAAAGACTTATCAAGAGTAAAGGGAGAGAAGTGGGAAACTTGAGAACAGTGAAGGTTCAAAATGGTGCTTGGGATGAATGCAAAAGGCTACGACCAGGAACGTGCACAAGCATTGTGGGAGAATAGTGACAGGGCTGGGGTCTCAATCTGTGGCATTTGGAAGTGAAAACTAAACAACAGAAACTCAACTTGGGAGGACTAAGAAGGGAAGGATGATCAATTTAAGACTGCCATTCTATAACAATTCTATAACAGAATCACCTCAATGTATTCTGATCTAGGTAAGAGCAGGAGATCTGCCCATTTTTCTGAGTCTCTCTCTCTCTTTTTTTTTAAGATTTTATTTATTTGACAGAGAGAGAGCAAGAGAGAGAGAGCACAAGCAGGGGGACCCGGAGAGGGTGAAGCAGGCTCCTGCCGAGCAGGGAGCCAGATGCGGGCTTGATCCTAGGACCCTGGGATCATGACCTGGGCCGAAGGCAGACGCTTAACGACTGAGCCAGCCAGGTACCTCAATTTTTCTGAGTCTTTAAGCAATTTCAAGTCAGATAAGTTTGCTAAAATATCTCAAGCCTACCATGGTTTGAATCATACATGTAGATTCTGAAGAATCTGAAGAAACATTTTTTAAATGTGCAATTCATTTCAGAGTCATGAGTTATTTTCATTATGTAGTTTTTATTTTAGACGAACATTACTGTAAAAAAAAGTTCACCTGGAATAAAATCCATTTAAAAACAAAACAAAACAAAACCACAGCATCAGTATCAGTATACAGTTAATGAATTGGCTTAAACAAGATTAACCACATGACAGGTTCACTTTATCTGCAGGAGCTTTTCACATTAAGCTGTTAAAGCAAAAATAAAATATGCTGAAACATATACAGAAGGATAAATCTATGGAAAAACTAGGTATTTCCCATTGGGGGCATGATTTTAGTCAAATAGTTTATGGCATTTTGCACTAAAGGAACTGCAGTGTCAGCTGCAAAAAACAAAATATAACCCATCTGTAAGGCCATAGGAATGAATTATAATTAAGTTCACATTTTAAAAAAGGTAAGAAAATGAAACCAGAAGTTCTATTAGTTCTTGGCAATAAGAAATGCAATCGCATATGGCACAAGCATTTCAAAAAATGAAGTAAAATTTGAAAATATCCCTAAAATAATTATTTGCTGATATTCACTTCTGTAAATTTCAGTCATTTAGAATCTTTTTCAGACTGAACAGGACTCCCGTTAATTTTATTAGTCTAAAAAAAAAAAAGTCTGATTCTCTGTAAAATTGTGCTGGGATTTAAAATTTTATTAGCATATTCCCTCTAGGTCCCTCTAGGACAAGAAATTTTTCTTCTCTCTCTCTCTCTCTCTTTTTTTTTGGACATTCCATTTCCCTCCCTTCTTTGCATATAACAAGAAGGGAAAAGGAATGTCTTTTCTGTTAGAAGAAAAATTCTAAAAAACCTGATGGCAGAAATGAGTGCTTAAAATCTGAGATAAGTAAACCCACATAATGAAATGCTGTATTAAAATTTGGAGCTTAAAAGCTCATCTTTAAAGATTAAGTACTAAATTTATAAAGAAAGCTAAGTCATGAACTAGAAAAAAAAATCTGCTTAAATGCATCACTTACTGTTCACAGGAAAAAATTTATAAGTCTTAATACAGATTCTCAGCATTCAGAATCTGTAAAATGGAATTATAATCTCTTACTTAGAAATTTCTGCAAACGTTCATCTATATTGCACAGCTAAATTTCTTAAGGGAGACAGGGAGATCATACCTTGTTTGCACTAGTGGCTATGACATGTATGTTCTATTCTAGAGTAAGCTATCTCCTACCTTTTCCAATGATGTCGTTAGTCCAAAACAAAACATAAAATCTAAATGGTGCTGGAGGCTTCAAGGCTGGCTCACCAGTTTTCTACCAGGTATTAGAATACTAGTTAGCTAAATGAGGTATAATTAAAAAATAGTCCTTCAAAGTAAAGAGTATAGTCTTCTGAACATTTATAACAAAGACTGCACAAAATGTTCATGTAAATAGTAAGAAACCCTGCGGCACCTTCTAACTGATGCACAGGTGGATTATTTTCTCATAATCTGTACGAAGTAAAACATAGCTAAAATAAATTCCCAGTGAAACGTTTTACAATCAACTGGTTTACATGCTACTGAGTTACAGCACATTTTCAGTGTCTGAAATTCTCAGACTCTACTTGAAAAGGTCTAGTCCAATCATTGTCAAGAATCAGCACACTGATAGTCACGTGCAGCCTGGAACCACAAACACTGCTGCAAACGCCTTTCTGTACCTTGTCCGTAAGACCACAAACATGTTCACACAAACTAGCTTTCTTCAGTTTCAGCAGGGAACAGACAATTATCTGTCACTAAATTCATCTACACATTGAAAAAATAATGCACTATATGTACATTATTAAGCAAAATGGAATATTTATTGGGTCATTTTACCATGCAGAAAGTGAACTTCCTATGGTCTTAGCTCAAATTATATACAATTTAGCAAAGCTAAACGTAAGAAAATAGCAAGGACGATTTATTTCTATATAACAGAGCATCTACCTCCAAATTGCTGCTACTTCAAAGAGCACTTTTAGACTCATCTAAATTTTACAGGCTCTTTCAAAGGGAAGATCGTGGAGACTAACTATTAACCCACATCAGACAAAAGAAGAGAGAAGGAATGAAACAAAAGCAAAGCATTGTGTTTTAAAACAAAAAACAAAAAAACAAAAGCTAACCAAAGAATGTGTCAGTTTTGGTTTGCAGACAACCCCTGAGATATAAACCAAAGTGTTAAGACACCAAATAGAGGTAAATTACTAGGAGAATTACATTCATACATGGTGTCATAGCACTTGCCTTTTAGAAAGTATTTCGTTACCATTCAGAACGCTTAACTGCTTGGATCTTTTTCAGAAAATTAGTAAATAAGAGATGTTTCTAAGAAATTATTTTTTCTTTCCAAAAATGGAGCTAATTTTAAAATGGTAGATGTACAATCAACTTTCAATCAAGCAACTACTGATTAGACTGGGACACAACCAGGTGCCTGTAGGCCTATAGGTAAATACAAACAAACAAACGAAATCAAGAAGGCTGAGATCTGCCAACATTAAGTTTAGTGTATCCATCAAAAATAGCTCTGGTATATTTGCAGCTAAACTGTACATAAGTTTTCAAATAATAGTAAAGGTCTGACGGGTCCAAGCATTCCAATGTTAATGTCTTGATCTGAAGCAATCCATTTGCTTGAATCCATTGCTTGAACAAGCAATCCATTTCCATTTTCATCTCCACTCTCAACTCTGAAGCATGATGGTAACCTTCATGAAACAAAAAAAGCCTAACAGGAAGGATAATTATTGGCAGAATTCATTTCCCTAATCACCTATTCATTACTCCCTGCTCTATTATGACATTGAAGGCTAGAGTAACAACAACATGATCTGAATTTGGCACATAAATTAACGCTAAATAGCTTTTTATTTTTTTCTTATGTAAAGTTTTCATCTACAAAAGGTATACCAGTACCACTGTCTGGTGAGAAAGGCAGCTGAGCTTTTGGCTGGTTTTGGCCCAAATGACTGGACCGAGTTCTATAACAACAAACCCAAACAAATGGAACCGGGTTCGACGCATTCAATAACAGATGCTTTAAAATGGAAACCTTGCTCCTATTTTCTCTAACAAAAAGGCAAGACTTTTCCTAGAGGCTGCACTAGGTCTAATTACCTTTGTTTAAAGAAGAAGAAGAAGAAGAAGAAGAAGGGGGAGGAGAAGAAGAAGAAGGGAGCTCAAATAAGAACAGAACAAAAAATCATTCTGTTTACCATTAGCTATCTCTGTTACCAAGAGCTATCTCTGTTACACTTATATCAACAAGTTAATCTATCTCCCTATAGGTAAGCTTACTACAAACAAAAATCTAAATCCAATACTTGTTAACTTTTGCAGACAGGGATCACAGTAGAGACTGGGTATTACAAACGAAACCAGCAAGTTAAAGAGTGAACTTAAGAAAAAATGCATTGCATGTATTATGATGCTGATATGACAGAACCCACAATAAGATGCTAAAATAAGATCTAAATGGTACATCTCTCTGCCTATGTAAAATTTCAGCTCAAGAAGTTCACAATTTGAAACAGACAACAATGTTCAAATACGTTATGTTTTTGATCACTGAGTGGTTATAAGAGGTCAAACATAAGAGAGAATAGTAAATATAAACCCCAGGAAACGCAATATTAAGGTGATTTCCAAATGTAGCTTCTAGTGATCAGAGAGAGGTAATCAATTGAAAAAGTGACTTATTCAGCTACCCAAACTCTCCAACAAAAAGGTCGGGAATGAAACAAAATTCTAAATAACCTGAAGAAATAAAGGAATTATGGCCTCCGATGAATAGATGGATATTTTCAATGAATTTTTTTTAAGATCACTTGTATCAGAATTTAATGATTCTTATTTAAGGAAATCACAAATTAGAGCCCTTAAAAAAATTCTATCAATGCAACAACATCTGGCCACATGACCCAGACTAAACATCTTTTAATTTTAGTACGTTAACCTCTGCTTTAAATGTTTTACTTTTTTCAAACATCCCCAGGTGCACAAATTTGTCTAGAACTTATAATGAGGCAAAAGTGTGCAAATATGAGTCTGAAACTGTGCTGTAGCAGGGACAGGCTAACACTGATGTGCAAAGTGAAAAAGAAAAGATAGCAGCTTCTGGGACAAACCAAAGGAAAAACAAGTTAAGTCCTGCATATGTCTCCACTTCATTGCTTCCATGTTTAAAAAAAGGAGCCTGTTAACTTGATAGGCCATGAGGCTGAAATCCACATGGCATCCTGTGTCGAGAAGTCTAGGTTCAGTGGTGCTCTCAGCAGCAGCCAGGTGGTGTGATTCTGAGGCTGGCTGACCTGTGCTTTCAGAGAAGCAGGAAAGGGTCCTTTAGGTGTGCTGCAGTCTCTCAGAAACTGAGTTTATCAAAGTAGCGAACAACGGAAGAAACTGGTCTTCTTTGATCGGTTCTCTGTTATTTTCACTGGTCCACCTGACCCTGATGAATTGCTGTCATTCTAAAAAAGGGAAGATGAAGTTACCAAGGAAATAAAAGTTTCATGGTTTGATCCCAATTATCTAAAATGTACAAATGTCATATGCCACAAATGTGTCTTTGGTAGAGTATTTTATTAGAAAGGGGACTTGTCAGGCTCTGATGTTGTCCATATCTTTGGAAATGGTGGATTAAAATGAGAAACATATTTTTAGGATAGCACCTTTAAATTAATAATGTATTCGATGGGAAGCTCCCATTTCCAGTTCAGAAAAATAGCCAATGGAGTGTAAAGTTTCAAGGGTAATGATGGAAACAATGTTAGGATATTGGTATAGGCAATCTTCTTGCTAGAGGTAAGAACAGTTGCTAATGTAAGGTATGCAGTTATATTCAGGATTCTTGCGAAAACAAACTTTCAAGGTGTTCTTAACGATTCATCACTGACATCATTTCTAATTTAAGTGAACTTTAGAAACTTTAAGATCATAATTACATATACATATAAATACCTGTCACATTAAAACTAAACTAGAAAATTTCATGGCAAAAATTTGTGTCATTATTATTTTAATTATTCTGGTCAAAATTCCATTAAAGACCGCCCACAGAATTAGGTGAAAGAATGGAAGCAGCCACAGTTCAGAAGAAACAGAAATAAAAATCAAAATTCAATCAGGTGAATATGTGAGTCAGGAAAAAATGAGTCACTGTGACTATGTTACAAACAGCCCTATCCTTTTAATCAAATAAATAAACAGCAAAAATAAGAAAAACAAATTTAACAAATAGCATAATGAAAGTAAAAAAAGTGATACAAACCATTTTTCTGTTGAGTTTTGTCATTATATCTCGTGCAAGTGTAAAAAATGCCTAAAGGTAAACCAAAAATTTTATTAATGTATGTTTATATTTTATGAAATAGAAATGTAGAATGTTATCATTATTTCATTATAAAATATTATTTGACACTTTTTAATTGAGAAAAGAACATAACTGTAATCGTAGTATACACCTGAATATTGTATCTTATTTTTCAATGATATCACGAACACTGTTCAAACAGAAAGAGGAAAAATCTGAGTAATCTCAGTGACATTTTGTGCCTAGTGTGCCTTGACCCAAATGAAGTATTTTTTTAAACCTATCATTTCTACTTTGTTTCTACAGAGCCAAGACTTTTTTTTTTTTTTAAGATTTTATTTTTAAGTAATCTCTACACCCAATATGGGGCTTGAACTCACAACTCCAAGATCATGAGTCGCATGCTCCACTGACTGAGCCAGCCAGGTGCCTCTCTACAGAGCCAAGACTCTTAAAGAATCTTCGGTTGTCTCCATGCTAAACCCACAACTGTCGGTCTCTTTGTTCCCAACCACCCCTGATGCCCCCAAAGATGTTCAGGAGAAGGTTTACGTCCAATCAAGTCAAAGAGAAACAACATGATAACCACTCTCCTCATTTATTACCAATGTTGCACTGTCACACTGGTCACCTGTGAGTCTAAGTTTCAAAGGAAGCTCATCCCAGTTTCTAGGAAAAGCTAACGACACTAAATTAAAGCTCTGGGAAAGCTGCTAATTTCTGCCAAATGCCTGGTCAGAATAAGCAGCTCAGGCAACTCTCAGCTCTGTACTCGCATAGCTCACAGGTCTCTGTAAGCCACAGATGTCATCACAGTGCAGCCACAAACAGAGACCTAAACCTGCTCCATTAAGCCAGGGTACAGAGTTCACTTTGTGGGAGAAACCCTATCTGGGCCATCTCAGGGCACACATTTTCTCCTGTTTCTACTTAAGAGGTTCCCCTCTTTCTGATGGAAGGAAATCCTTTTGTGGCAAGCAGAAGGAAGCATTTTTCTGCTCCTCTATGCTTGTGTAAATAAATGAACAGAAGCTTTCTGTTTCCTAACACCCATTAGCCAACCTGAAACAATTAGTGGTAGTTATTAAAAACACGAAGAAAAAGTTCTGACCAGTGTCCCTTAGCTAATAAAGTCATTTATATCTCAATTTTAAGCAATAATGGTTATGGTGAATGGTGGTAGTCTAAGAAATGAAATGTCTATAAAACCATCAGTATTACTGTCCATTCAGTTGCACATATTAACACACACTTATCATTTTTACAACAAGTTTTAAGAATGTTATTAATGGCGCGCCTGGGTGGCTCAGTTGGTTAACCAACTGCCTTTGGCTCAGGTTACAATTCTGGAGTCCTGGGATCGAGTCCCGCATTGGACTCCCTGCTCAGTGGGGAGTCTGCTTCTTCTTCCAACCCTCTCCCCTCTCATGCTCTCTCTCTCTCACTCTCAATCTCAAATAAATTCTAAAAAATTATTAATTAATTTATTTGTCAGAAAGAGAGAGAGCACAAGCAGGGGGAGCAGCAGGCAGAGGGAAAAGCAGTCTCCCCGCTGAGCAAGGAGCCCGGTGCAGGACTCGATCCCAGGACCCCGGGTTCATGACTTGAGCTGACGGCAGATCCTTAACCAATGGAGCCACCCAGGCTTCCCTAAAAAATGTTTTTAAAAAAGAAAATATTATCAACAACTGCCCTTGGTAAAGAAAATTTATTCTTAGAAGACTCTAGATGATTTGTCTTTAACAATTAACTTACTGAAAATTTATTAAAACTACTCTCTGATAAACACATTTATTTCTACTAAATGCTGTTGTGTTACAATATATCATGCTCAATCTAAGGAAATCTGTTCAATAATCAGTTTAATTCTCTCTTGAGAGAATACAGACATGAAAGTAATTAAGATTCTCCTGCTACAGGCTACTACTATAGGATGACACGAACCATGATAAATGAGCAGAAAACACTGTGCTTGTTCGGCGAGTGCAGGATTTCTGGCTTCCTAAACAAAGGGCAAAGCTGAGCTTGAACGGAACTTCTACCTTCTGCTCAGTGAATCTTAATCAAGCAATCTCATATAGCCCATGTGGGGGCTGGTTGCTAGAAATTCAACAACCTGGGTCCCCATAAAAGTCAGAAGCACAAAAATTCACAAAATGGAGGTGGAGCTCACAGAAGGCATTCACTAAGAAAAGGACAACTTTGGAGAGTTGCTTGAACATAAGCATCTCAGCTCTAATGTTACCCCATAACAGGTCACCGAACATTTCTTTCTTACCTCTTCTACATTTGTACTGGATTTTGCACTTGTCTCCAAGAATTTAATCCCATAGTCAATAGCTAACTGAAAGGCAAACAGAAACATTTAAATTTTGTTCAAGTTGCTTCAACATATAAAGCATTTCCTTTTTCTAGGTTGTTCAAAGTCCCAAAGGTAGAGGATCTAGTTGAAAACTCTTGTGGTTCTCAAATTTCTTTGCTTTCTTCTATGTGTTTGAAATGTAGACATCTAACTTAATCATCATAAGTAAAATGGCAGTGCTTCCACTCAAGACATGACTTAAATTATTTTTTTGTTCTATTATGCTTTAGTTCTCTAGTATGCTTACAAGAAAAAGCGTGAGACAGATACTTGCTCCTACCATTAATTTGGGATTCGCTGACCCCTTTCACCTGCTCCCAAAGTACAACTCTCTAACAGTTACTATACTGACTTTTCATTATTTTTTAATAAATTGGTACATAAAGAATGAAAGCTTAAAATACTAAGTACTCACCGCTTTTGTTTTTATTTGGTTTCTATTTCCATCTATTCCCAAAAAGTTCCCAGTTTATTTAAAATAACAAGATTAAATGAATGTTCTTACAGAAAAAAAGTTTGCAGTCAGATTTAAAAACAAAATACATTTTGCATGCATTACCAAAAAAAGGCCAAAGCAAAATTCCAAGACTTAAAAACTGAAGCCTCTAAGTTAATTTAGAAAATGTTATAGAAATAAATATGTACATGTAATAAATTCTTGCTTTTTTTGCAGGGTACAAAATAGAAAACACCATAAATGACATCCACAGCTTGATGAATTAAAAGTAGTTTCACCATAATGACGTAAATCTAATATGGTGTAAAATAGTCTTAGGAAAAAAATAATGAATTGGAATGTGATTACTGGTTAAGCTTCACCTATCCGATCACTTTTAATTGAAGAGAATGATTTATTTGCCCTTTAAAACTGGGCATTTTCACACGGATATGGAAGAAATAGCCTGAACTCTCAGCTGCACGAATCTGAAAAAGGACCAATTTGTATCTCCCAGAAAACAGCAAATTCTTCAGGAATGAGTCATGACTACACAATATATGGAGCTGGATCTCGAATACTAATTCATACCATTCAAGTATGGATTACATCTCTTTGTTGTTTTTTTTAAAGGATTAAAATACAGATATTCTTCAAACTGAAATCAACAATTAAGTAATACTAAGAAAATAACTGCTTAGTGTGAATAGATTCTAATCTTTACGCATTCGGTTCAAATTTACCTTCTCTCCTCTTTCTTTTGACACTTGTCTTTTGTCATTCATATCACATTTGTTACCCAGGATCATTCTTTCAACATCTGAAGAGGCATGCTATGGGGAGAAAATAGTACGTTGTTAAAACAGCCAGAGCAAAACACAGCTATTCAACAGACAAACCCTACCTGTCAGAAACATATCCATAAATTTAATAATAAGAAAAATCATCTTTCGCTCCACACAAAGCCTGATGCAGGGAAAAATTTAAAAGCTGGGAGGAGGGAAAAGGTATAGCATAAGAGCCTATGTGAACTTTTTCCCCAAAGGCTTACAGTCATTCTTGTGCCTTTTTTGGTACATGAACAAACAGAAGTAGAACTTCTGGTTATCCAACAACAAAACTTCCAAATACTAGTTTGGGTCAAAGAAGGAAAAAAATAAGTACTGAGTGAGCCAATGAGGATGGTATTCTGGATTCTGAACTACTTAAAATATGAAATCTTGTAAGTTATTATTAATGTGTACAAAATGATTTTAAAGTCAGATTTCTTTCTGAAATGTCAAAGACATTCAAAAAAAAAGTCTTAATACCAGTCAATCTGGAATTAAACCAAATTTCAAATATCTAACGATAGAGAAAAGGTTAGAAGGGAAAAATGCTAAGTTGATGGAACAGGGAGATGTCTTTGCCAGTCAGACAGCAAGAAGCTGGGAGTCAGACTTTAAAGCTAGAGGAGCACAAGCAAGTCTCTTCTTTCTGGCCTCAGTTTTCAACATGGGTAAAATGGGGACTTGGATTAAATTATTTTCAAGATCCAGCCCAAGTTTAAAATTCGGTGAGACTGCTCTGCTGTGTGTAGCTCCCTGTTGGATACAGCGGTTCAACCTGTGGCACCAGAGATCACTCCGGCTGTGCTCCTCAGAGCAAGGGGGCCTCAGCTGCCCCTGGTGTACTTCTCAGCAGCTCAGCTGCCTCTTCCAGAGAAAGAAGGAGCCCTCCGCAAGCACCCGGAAGGACTCCTCTCTTGTATCATCATCTCCTTCCATACATACCTCTTCAATGTTTCTTATCCAATTTTTAATATTGTCAAAGGACTTTTCATTTGTGATGTCATAGACCAGCATAATTCCCTGTAAGAAAAACCTTTATTGAGTACATCATACATTTAAAGTTATAGAATACAATGTCAGTGTACTCCTACCTTCCAGAAATCTCTTATTTGTCCTTTGTCTTTTTAATTAAGAGATTTATAATAAAAATTTTAAAGTACAAAGAAGGAAAAATAAATCCCTCCACTGTCTCACTGTGTGAATAGTCTGTAAACATTTTTTTTACTGTTTACTTTTAATGAATTAGTGATTATGGTGAAGGTGATACACCCTTTCTACCTGAATGCACATTGTTAAGAATCAGTACCAAATGGAGCTAAAGGAGTGTTTCAGTTAAAACAGAGATAGTGATTAGAGAAAGAGGTAATCACTTCCGTTGTGTACTTTATTATTGCAAGTAGAAATGTCTTGCTTCTTACTCCTATACTAAGATCGTAACTATACTGCTTTAAAATTATTTCCTTTTGGGGCACTTGGGTGGCTTAGTGGGTTAAGCCTCTGCCTTCCGCTCAGGTCGTGATCTCAGGGTCCTGGGATCAGGCTCTCTGCTCAGCGGGAAGCCTCGCTTACCCCTCGCTGCCTGCCTCTCTGCCTATGTGATCTCTCTCTGTCAAATAAGTAAATAAAATCTTTAAAAAAAAAATTATTTCTTTTTTAGGGGTGCCTGGGTGGCTCAGTGGGTTAAGCCTCTGCCTTTGGCTCAGGGCGTGGTCTCAGGGTCCTGGGATCGAGGGATCCTCTCCCTGCTCATCGGGGAGCCTGCTTCCCCTCTCTCTCTGCCTGCCTCTCTGCCTACTTGTGTGATCTCTCTCTCTGTCAAATAAATAAATGAAATCTTTTAAAAAATAAAGTAAAAAAAATAAAGTTATTTCTTTTTATACTTAAAAAATAAAACCATTTCTTCAAATATGGGTTGATCAAAAATCACTATCTGTCTACATAAATTGCAGACACTTAAAACATAATACATTTGTTATACAAGTATAATGAAAGGCATTGCCATCGTATTTTTAAAGATCCTCATGTCTGATATTTTTTTTTTTAAAGATTTTATTTATTTATTTGACAGAGAGAGAGAGAGAGATCACAAGTAGGCACAGCAGCAGGCAGCGGGGCGGCGGGGGCGGGGGGAAGCAGGCTCCCTGGTGAGCAGAGAGCCTGGTGTGGGGCTCGATCCCAGGACCCTAAGACCACGACCTGAGCCGAAGGCAGAGGCTTAACCCACTGAGCCACCCAGGCGCCCCATGTCTGGTATTTCTAAACGGTTTATCTCCTAAATGTATCAACTGACACTTACATTGTAACTATTCCAAAATCTGTACCACCAGACCACCCTCCTGTATTAAGTGCTAGATCTACCCATCTGTCTGTCCATTCAACAAATATTTAGTGAGCCCCCACTATGTGCCTGATCGTATACTTTGTGTTACCAGTAGTGGACAGGATAGACAAGGCCCCTTCCTCTCATGGCCAGCTAGCAAAGAAAACTATAAACCAATAATTACACAATTAGTTACAACTTTGACAGTTGCTATGATGAAGTATGGGGAGTTTTGAGTACAAATGTGGCTAATCTGGCTAAGGGGATGAGATGGTCAGGGAAGGCTTCCCTGAGAAAATGACATTAAAGCCAAGACCTGAGGTCTGAGTAGACTTGAACTGGGCCATAGGGCTGAGGCTGCGGTGAGAAAGCCCACAGTACCTGGCACATAGCAGAAATGTTGTCAAGTACCCTGCTGACGAGAATGGCCCAGAACCCACTGGACTGAGTGAGAGAGGCAGCTTGGTAAGAGTGCATAGATCCAATGGCAGAACGGCACAAGGCGAAGCCGAAGAGAACAGTGTCAGATGTGTTTTGGAGACCAATGACCAGATAGCAGCTCCCAAATGTCCCATGTGGTCACCAAAAACTCAACTAAGTAAAACACAAGGTTGTCTTTGTCCCCTCCAAATCCTGTCTTCCTCCTTATACCCTTGTTTTGATAAAGGGTAATACAACCCTGCCAGCCAGCCCAAGCAGACTCCTGAGACTTACCTCCTCACAACCAGGGTCACTAAAACCTGTTATAGGCCCGAAAACCACACAATCTCCCGATTCTGACCCCTCAACTCCTAAGCCCGGTCTTATTCCTATTCTCGTCTATTAGCCTGAATTATCGTCATTGCCTTTAACTGGTCTCCCAGCTTTCACTAAGATATACAATTGCTCAGAATGTGTGGAGGAGTTCCAAAACATCTACAAACTAATAACCTGATGAATATTACGAAGACCAATGTCAAAGCATGCAGTTACTGAACAGAGAACATAGAAAAACCCTTTAAATGTCGTTTTCACATCCCAAAACCTATCTCCCCCATTATGCTAGACTGTAGCTTAGATCCTAAAATCCTGAGAAATGAATATGCATGTTTTACTCTCACCTGAAGAGTTATAAAAACCCTCAAACACACTCACCATGGCTCCTCTATAGTATGCCGTTGTGATGGTTCGAAATCTTTCCTGACCTGCTGTGTCCCTAAAATTTGAAACAAAGGAGAAAGTGGTTTTAGAATTATCACCAGCATTGCTGAGGAGAGACCTTAAGCTGTAGAGAGAATTCTGGGCAGCTCACAAAGGCAGTGGTTTCAAGGGCAAGGCGAACGAGCCGCATAGGGAGCATGCTGTGTGTCTGTGAGCTGGAGGCGGAGGTGGCCACAGGGGCCTGTCAGGAGCTCACAATGACTTTGGTGGGAAACTTGGACCTTGATGATAAAAGCAGCAACAAGAAAATACATGGCCCTGCTAGGAACTGGCATGTTCTATTAGTCAAACACACGTGGGAGAGAACAGAGAATAGTTCTAAATTCTTGGACCCCTACAAGTAGTTATAATCCTTTTTGTAAATGCCCAATGATTAAGGCATTTTGCTCTCTGATTTCTGTACAGAGTCTGATTTCTGTACAAAGCAAGCAATTGGGTTGCACTTACTACTGTGTGAATTCTGCTCAGCAGAGCACACTAAAATGGATCTCCTCAAGAACTTTGTCAGCTGTAGAGCCTGGGATTAAATGGGAGCCTGGAGTTTCACATAGAATGGCTGACAATGTTTCTGAAGACTTTAAGATATGAACAACACCTCAAGATTATATACACGTTCATGTATTCTTGCTTTCTGGCTGGTGGCATTCTCTTAAAATCCATTCTGAAAAATTCAAAATTTTTCATACTTTGCTTGAAGTGATCCCTATAAAGGGAGTCAAATTTCCTTGCTATTTGGGAAAATCATTATTTCTAAATTTGCCATGCACCACCAGAACTAATTCTCTCCCTATGCTACTAAGGCAAATGAAATTGTACAACTTAATTGCAGGGGAAAGAGAGGCATTTGTGGAAATACACGTTGGCATACCAACCCAAATAAGAGATGGAGGCCCAAGGGAAATACAGCAAATTAAAAACATTAATAAATACCTTACTGTTTATTTATACCTTAGAAAATACATTTGTCTGTGCTCACGTGATACCCACCATAGCCCAATGTAGCAATAAGACAGTCATCCTCATTCTGTAGAAGAGGCAACAGGCTCAGCTGGGCTATGGTCTACCACTGAACCATTAAATGGCTCAGCCCCTTGAATGACCCTCAAGCATCCTCGGTCTCAGCGGTTTAGGGCAAGGCCAGGCTTCCCACCACAGTCATCTTCTCCTGCCATTCTCTCACTGATCAGGATTAGATACCCAGAGCACTTGCTTGGTATATGGAAACACACCATGCGGAAAACAGAAGCCAAGCATCTTGGAGCCAGCTAACCATATTTTGGTCTCACACGCTACTGGATTTAGAATCAGCTCTGCAGTGAGGACAGAGGAGAAACCCCTGCCATACTAAATACAGGTCATAAAGACTGAATGGAGTCTTATTTTGCTGCTAAGAGTGCTATGATATTATATTAAGTTCTAATTAGCTGACTGCCCACAGGCTCCTAGTAACAACTCTTATTCAATTCTTACTCATGGTCAGGACTGTTCAGCATAGAGTCAAAAATTCTCTTTGCTTCTCCCTTAGACTTTTTCTTTAGATCTTTAAAATATTTGGTCTCTTACTAAATATCAATAGATGAAAAGGGCAACCTGTGGTAACCTTCACCATGTTTCCCAATGAATATACCAGGAACTGTTATCCTACACTGATATGTAAAGCTGACATGATGCTCCAGATCTGTGGAGTTGTCTCAGCTTTATCAGTAACCCAGACAGAATTCCTCAGATGGACTTAAGCACTCTTAAGCCCTAGGTTCTTCTCTTTAAAGAAGGACCAGTGGATTTCAACATGATGCTCTAGTTCTACCCTGGTTCTGAGATTCAAAGAAGAACGGCCTAAGGAAAAAGCTGATATATATTATTTTACTATTTTGCCCTGCCTGCTTCTTAATCTAGGCTGCTCTGAATTTCTAAGCTTTGACTACTGCTGTCATCATCACACATTAGATGGGTTCAGTGGTCCTCATTTTTTTTTTTTTTTAATTTAAAGAGAAGCAACATGAAAGCAAATAATAAAATGTTAGATCTGCAGGGGCTCTCAGATGTCTTCAGGCTCGCCAACCAATTTACCGATGAGGAAAAACAGGACCTAAGAAGGGAAGCAATTGGCCCAAGCCCTCACCTGAGAGGCAGAACCTAGAATCTAGATCTGTACTTAAGAAGAACCTGCTCAGGGTTCCTACCATGTGACAACTTTTGCCTTATCTGATTTCAAAGCTGCAACAACTACAGTGAAAAAGTGTGTACACTCTTTAGGTTTTCTTTCCTTCCTACAAAATTAGTGTCTGGGAAGAATGAGTTCTCAGATCTCTTCCAGGTTTAAGATCATTCCTTACCTTCCCATTCTTGGTGGAGATACCTTTCAATACTCACCCACTCCCCCTTGGTTCTAGTAAAGAAAAGATGTTTTAGCTCTCACAGGTTACCACTAACTTACCACAATTCACATTTTAATCCCCACTTTCCATTCCAATTAAAGTAGAAACTCTGTGTATAATTTTTTTTTTTTTACTTACCATATCTGAAGCTTAATTTTCTTTCCATCTAGTTCTATCGTTCTGATTTTAAAATCAATTCCTGCCAGAAAAAGAAAAAGAAATGCTAAATTTCTCCAACTATAATCCAAGTCTTATTAGGAAAAGGACAAAGATTTCTATTGAAAAAAAAAAAAAAAAAAAAAAAGCTCTCCAACGCACTGGAAAATGTGAACACAGAGAGGGTGTGAATGGTATGTTTCCTCTGAATACAGGCTGAAGAAAGGAATGCTAATTACTCTGCGAAGAATTCCCACACATGTTAAATGCAATGTATTATATGCCTCATTATTTTGATACAAATGGATCACATCCCTCGAAGTTACATAATTTAGATAGACTGAGAACATGCCATATTCTCGGCTTCCTGAAATACATACGAACAATGATTCCTACCCTTCCTGCCCCAGTCTTCCCTAAAAAATGCCATGAGACCTCTTTAGAATGTCTTCCTCCATCTCCTGCCATGTGTTCTTTAGGACCTACAACTGGCTAAGGAGAAAAACAAAACCCTAAGGCCCCAAACCTGCCTATTTAGCTGAGGGACGGGAAAACCTACATATTTATTTTATACAGCTATCAGGTATCCTATGTACAATTTAATAAACATTTCCTGCTGCTTACAGGCTGGAGCCGAAATAGCTAGAATGGTTTTTAGCCCTAGCTGAACTGTAGGATTACTTGGAGAACTTTACAAACTATTTATGACTAGGTCTGTTCCTTTCCCCAAATTCTGAGATTCTGACTTCGTCAGTCAAGGGTAGGATCTGGGGCACCAGGGTGGCTCAGCATGTTAAACATCTGCCTTCGGCTCAGGTCATGATCTCAGGGTCCTGGGATTGAGACCCACATCGGGCTTCCTGCTCAACAGAGAGCCTGCTCTTCCCCCCTCTATCCCCTGCTTATGTGCTCACTCTCTCTATCTCAAATAAAGAACGAAAATCTTTAAAAAAAAAAAAAAAAAAAAGGTGGGGTAGGATCTGTGCATTGGTAATTTTAAAAGCTCTCCAGGTGATTCTAACCTGTAAGTAGCACTCAGGTAGGCCAGACAGGTACCATGTAAAAGACGTTTGGGGGCCCTGGCAGTTAAAAGTCCAACCCTCTCTCACCCATCCACGCCCCCAACCCTGCACTATGGTAGTTCGAAACTTATTAGAAATTTCAATTACAAAGAACCACAAAGTCCTTGACAAATATCAGAATGCTCCACACTTATGAGGAATAAGCTGCTACTCTTTGAAGGGACAAGTTAATGAAGACAACCTAGATGCAGTTTGCTAAATCTTTATCATCTGGCCACTCAGCTTTTAGATTTTTCTATTCTTTTGCATTCTGTTCAGAACCCCCTAAAAGCGGTTTCCACGACATTTCAAGAAAACATGTCAATTACATATCTGCTAAATTGACTTAAACATTAAATGCAGTTATGCTGGGAGGAGAAAAGCCTTCAACAGCTATGTTACTACAATGTTTCTACATATAAATATTGAGAGTACCCAAAAAGACTGCCACTTGGAGGCTCCCTAAAATCTCAGTCACTCTCCATTCCTTTAAAACATTTAGGAAACTTTCTCTCGACCCAGCCTTTTGTTTTTTGTACTTGTTAGAAGGATCACCTTTCTGTAATCTGAGGAGGTTCTACCATTATCTGTGATACTTCACCATCTTTTCACTATTCAGAGGTGTTCAGTGTTTAGAAGAGTTGGGACCAGTGGTATTTAGCTTCTGTTTACACTGCTGTCAGGAGCCAGCTGATAGACAAATGCACAGAGCAGAGCCAAATTAGCACAGAGTTTCACTAATAATGGAAAATGTCGTTTATATTATTATTGAAAAGCAGTAGATCTGAATGTCCAAAGACCTAGACTATAGGTTGGGTTCTGTCACTGACACATTTTGGGAGGTTCTTAACTGCTCTGAACCTCTGTATCTTCATCCAGAAAAAAAGGGTGAGGGGACTTAATTAAATAACGTGTTTGAATGTGCTCTGGGAACTCTGAAATTCCGTATCAATGTAAGATATTACATATTCAGATGCTATTATCCTATAGCTCTTGTCACCTGACGCATGAATTATGGTAACAGCTTCCCAGGACTCGGTGCCAGCTTCTCTCCCTGGTCTAACTCCCCTCCATGCCACTGCGAGGGTAACTGTCAACCATCTCTGAGGTAATGGCACCTCACTATTAAGGTGTGGGGTCAATTTCCTCTGCCTGGCAATACAGCCTTTCAGAGGCACTGCTCTCCTGACCCTGCCACCCTCAGAGCCTCTCTCCAACTGCCCTCCACCTCCTCCCCTCTGCACATGCCTGGCTACCTCATGCAGCAGCCTTGCCTGAGGATGCCACTCCACCCATGGGTCCTCCCCCACTTCCTCCCTCAGCTCTTTCCTTGGCCACGTCCAACCCTGACATGACAAGTCCTGGCTTAATCCTGTGTTATTTGGTTTTGTTAACATATTACTCTGAATTACTCTCAAATCAAGCAAAGGGTCCATCCTCTCTTTGATAGTTTGACTGCATTCAGAAACACATATACAGTAGATAATAAAAGGTTAAATACTCTCATCTAATTAATAAGTAAGTAAAGGTCACATTCTACTAAGTATGGGGAGAACTAAGAACAACTTGAAAGTTCAAAGTTTTCTTAGCATACTGTAGTAACAATAGTAAGGATGTTAAAAAATCTATTACAATATGAAAATCAAGATCTTATAATTAGTTTGACAATAACAGCAGTAGACTCCAGTTGGATTAATATTCACTTTAAAATGTAAAGATAACTTCCTGAGACTACTCCAGAATTAGAATAACCAGTCATAATACAGTAATGTAATTATATCAGTTAGGATGCTCTCTGCTGCAAATAATAGAAACCTCAAATCAAACTAGCTTAAGGTAATTTGTTGACTCATATAATAAGCCCAGTGATGAGCTGAGGTTCAGGGATGGCTCAAACCAGTAGTTCCGGCTCATTTCTCTGTACCTCCTTTGGCTCTGCCCTCTTGGGAGTGTCAGTTTCACCCCCTGATTGGTAACGGTTCCTGACCACAACAGCAATGCCGAGAAGAAAAGAGATCATCTTCCTGTGCCTCTCACTTCAAAGTGAGGAAATGTTTCCCAAAAAGCCTCCAGCGACCTTTCCTTCATGTTTCACTTCTAGAATTATAGCAATGAGAATGTCAGGTTCTAGGGGCTAATGCTGAGTTCCAGAACCAACCACGGGCCACGGGCAGTCAGCAAGATTGGATTAAGCTAAACTCCTCCCTAAATTTAGATTGATCAAGACCCATCCCTGCAGCTGGGTCACTTCCCTGACCCCAGGATGGCTAAAAATAGGAGAGAATGGAAAAGCTGTTGAATTGATCACAGTATCTGTTAGAATGATACTCCAATCTATCAATTAGTAAAATTTTGTGTTCATAGCTATAGGAAATGGACAAATCATAACAGCTATCACTACCACCCTGATGTGTAGGTTACCAGGTTTGATAATAACTCTAGTACTTCATCTAGCGTTCAGCCACTAACAGACAATATGAAGGAAAAAAAGGACAATGAGCAACCCAGGTAGTTGCCACGACATCTCTGCACTAATCCATGATCTTCACAGCCTGTGAGTCCCTGAGACTATAGTTCCAAAGCACTGGCCTGTGTCCTAGCCTCAGGTGATTAGAGACTGCAAAGAAGGAGGGGGCTGTCAAATCAACAGCAGCAAGAACCACAGCTCATTCTGGCGGGAAGGGAGCAACTTTTTCTTTTTTAATTTAAAAAGACCATACGATCTCAAAAATACAGCTTCTGAAGGGCATTATGCTGAGAGTAAAAAAAAAAAAAGCCCTTCATGTTTCAACAGTCTTTTAGAAAGCATCATTTCTTGGCTGCACATAATACGATAATTCATGTTCAAAATGACGACCCTGAGTCATCCCAACTCATGAGCAATGCATTGGCCTGCCCAGCTGGCAACACAGCCCAACATCTACTCTCAGGAGACAAGACTCCAACACTGCTTTCATGTTTACTAGAATAAGCCCGACCATTAACTTCTTGATGGCTTTAAAGCAGTGCCAGTTTTGTCATTAATATTTATCTAGTCAATAGAATAGGAAATCTACATGGTAAGAAAACATTCCCAAGGGACTCAAAGTCATTTTCATTTTGAATTTAAATACATGCACACAGACACACAAGAGTTTTGTTTTTTGTTTTTTGTTTTCCTGAACTGATTCTCATGCTAAGCAGTTGCTCATCACTGATACATACTATACTCTGTAAGGAGGCAGAGAAGCCAGAAAGGAATCACAGAATTCTAGGCTTGGAAAGAAACTTAGAGGCTCTTTAGTTTAGTCCTTCCTGTGTGCCCAAGCAAACTGAGGCCCAGGGAGGCACAGCAACTTACCCAGATTCACAAAGACTAACTCAAAAGAGTCTAAAATCAAACTTGTCATTTAAAGATCCTTCCAAAGGCCTTCCAAAGAGATGTGTGCAAGAATGTCCATATCTCCCTGGGGAGGCCTGCTCTTTAAGGGTCAATAGCAAAAGGTTAGCAACAATGGAAATGGCCCCCAGTGGGAGAACACCTTGGTATACAGGGGATATCCAGGAACAGTGAACAAGAGTCATATGTATCAACATGATTGAATCTAAAAACAATATGAAGTGAAAAAAGCCAACTGCAAAATTTCCCAGAGTCAAACCATTCCTATATAATTTTAAAAATACCCAAAACTATAGAACGTATCATTTATATATACATCCATGTGTAATTAAAGTATAAAAACATATGAGAATGACCCAACAAAATCCATAGAGCTGTTACCTTTGAAGAGAAATGGTAGAAGAGGTGATTAAAGAGAGGTTCAGAGGGACTTCAATTTAATCATTTATTATTTCTAAAACTGCATGGTGGTATCTGAATGTGGGAGTGTTTTATAGTAGGTATACTCTGCATGCCTGAAATTCTTACTAATTTTTAAGAAGCAATAAGTAGTTATTTGAAAAAAAGTGATATCTGAAGATATTCATTAATGATAGCAGAAAA